CAAATTTGAAACCAGCATGGCCGTGCGGGGCTCCACCCACACGCCGTGTCATTCATTCACAGAGTTCTGTGAATGAGTGCCTACAAGTCTCGGCAGCTATAGCGGCTATCGGCTTGTAGTTTTCAGTGAACTACCATGGTGCTGAGGAGCACCGTGGTAGTTCATTGAAGCTTCCTGTCAGTATATCTGCTTGACCGTATATCCCCTACACTCCCTACTTCCTGCACATCCCCTACATCCCTTGCACATCCCACACACCCGCTACATCCCGCACACCCCCTATATCCCCTACATCCCGCACGTCCCCTACATCCCTTGCACATCCCACACACCCGCTACATCCCGCACACCCCCTACATCCCGCACGTCCCCTACATCCCTTGCACATCCCACACACCCGCTACATCCCGCACACCCCCTATATCCCCTACATCCCGCACATCCCCTACACCCTGCACATCCCCTGCATCCCATACGGCAAGCAGATATTCTGACAGGTCTGCAGGAGACCTGCATGGCATCAGAGATCTACGGATCATTGGTGAAATGCTTTCCAGGCTCCTGTAGACAAAAATAATAAATGCACCTGCAAAAAAAGTGTCTATTATTTTTGTCCAAACGGTAAACTTATCCTTTAACCACTTTGCATACTAATGATTTCTACACATTTTTAAGCACACACTGGGGCTTCATTTTCATCATTTTTATAGAAAAGAAGATGCTAAAATGTAACAGGAAGCAGGAAATATGTTGCTGCGCACAAACTTTCCATTGTTTGCCAAGTCTTGTTAAAGCTGAAATCAAATCTGCCAATATTTTGCATTGCCTTTTCCATCACTCTATTAGCATGATAATGAAAATGTTCATAAAACCTGCTTTCTATATATACCGTATTTTAGAACCAGTGATGAAATCACTGGGTCTCTGTGCTTCCATATGCAATGCAGGCAAATCATGGTCGATGAGAGGGGCCAGCAGGGTGCTATACCAAGCTTACTGAAAAAATCACAGCACCCTGCCTTAGTACTCCTCTCAAGAGCCCCCAGCAGTGGGCTGGTTCCTGGGAGAAGTTATTATCAAAATGCCTTGACAGGTAGGTGTCAGTCTGGAAGAGTGTGTGTTCCTAAGCAGACTGCATTTTTATGTGGCCTGCCCTAGATCATGCCCGTGTTTCATTCTGAGCCTCTCTGATTGAAAGAATTAAAATCTAATGAATGAAAAGAGCAGGCCAGGGACAGGAAGGTAGACAGAGCCAGATGATGCTGGAAGTCCTCCAGCCAAGAAATGAGACAGCCTACATCTGGTTTGCTGCAGCTTCTAATGCACATTGTGAGACGCTCACAGTGTGCGGTGAAATCAGTGTAAGCCATCTCAGTCCTGGAGAGGAGCCGGTACAACCGTGACTGAAGAGAGGGATGGAGGTCAGATTAATTTGAAGGTGATTGCATGATCTGTAGTTACACATTGGTCAGGCAGGGCCTCCAGCTGCACTATATGGTGGTCTCCAGGACTCTGCTGCAGCGAAAATGGACAAGAATTGAACAACTTTTCAGGCACAGGGAATGTAGAATGGAGTGGGTGGGTGTGTTGGGAACGGGGGTTGGAAAGAGGTTAAACACACATTTAAAATTCTCCCGTCTCACCTGCTCACTGTCCGGAGCTGGGAAGCTCATCCAATCCAACAGATCGCATTTATCTTTTGGCCAATCAGAAGCCCAGACGCTTACACGCCTGTCCTGACTCGCAGCCAACCAGACCTCTCCTCCCGGTAGGCCCAGTTCCTCAGGCTACACAAACAGAAAACATTATGATGTAAGGGGACAACTTTACAAGAAAACTTCAGTCTAAGCAAAAAGTTTTCTAAAGTTTCAGCCCTCACCTCCAAAAAATAATTTGAGGGGAATTTACTAAGACTGGAGCAAAGAGATTGGAGCAGTTGCGCATGGCAACCAATTAGCTTCTATCTTTCGTTTGCAAAGCTTAACCTCTTCCCGCCCGGCCCATGTACATAAACAGCCGGACGGGAGCAGTGCAGGAGAGGGTTGCCGTTTATAAACGATGCCCACATTCACGGCCTGTGTGCGCTCCCTGGGAGCGTATGGCACCGCAATCTGGTGCCCAGTGTGTCCGGAGGAACACTCATTGCTGTGCGGGACCTCTGTGTGAGGTCCCGATTCATGTGATCCCTGATTGGCCAATCAGTGGCCACATGAATAGTAGTAAGCAAGATGTCACTTCTGACATTGCTTACTACTAGTAAAATCTGTGAACGATCACAGAGGTCACATGGTACAGGGCTATTCACAACAGCCTTGTACTATGTGACAAGCTGTGTCCAATCACAGCTCACACAGTATTTCTCAGTGGCTGCAGGAATGCAGCCAGAGAGAAGGAGAAATTATTGCTTTTACAGCCTTTATGGGTGTAAAAGCAATCAGTGTAAAAAAAAAAAAAAAAATCTTCATCACCCCCCACAAGTAGTACAGTGACACTGTACTGCTAGGGTGACAGTATGTTAAAAAACAAAACAAAACATAAATAATATAAAAAAATAAATTAAAAATGTAAAAAAAATAATAATTTTTGGTTTATAAACTAATTTGGGTTATTTTTTTTTTTAATAAAAAGATAGCTGAATACATTTTGGCCGAGATATATGAGGAAAGATTATTTATTTGCAAACTTTTATAAGAAAAACACTTTTTTCAAAATTTTTGGACTTTTTCATTTATATAGCAAAAAAAATTAAAATCCCAGTGGTGAATAAATACCACCAATATAAAGTTTTATCTGTCTCAAAAAAATGCTAAAAAAATTTATATGGGTACAGTGTTGCATGACCGCGCAATTGTCATTCAGTGTGATAGCACTGAAAGCTGAAAATTGGCCTGGACAGGAAGGGGGTGAAAGTGTCCGGACTGGAAGAGGTTAACTGAACAAGCAGAAGAAAGCAGCTGATTGGCTGCCATGCACAGCTGTTCCAGGTTCTGTCTGGAGCAGTTTTTAGTAAAGTCCCCCATTTGCGCCCCGGCAGCGACCTCAGACAATATCTCCATGCCAATAGTTACCCTTCTGCGTGAGCACTGTATCGTGGTGATCGGGGATCCTTTGTGATCATTTAGTACTCGGACGGTCATTCCTGTACGGGTGCTGCTGATCGCCATCAAGCCGTCCTTTCCACCCGACATCAACACTTCACCTGCATCATCAGACACATTGCAGTCATTCGTGCTGCTGCTATAGCCTAGCCTAGGCCACAACGGGTTATTAGGTCGCTTACCGCCCAGGGAGAAAGCAACGGCGGTGACAGCACAAGGGTGCGGGTGAATCTTCATCTCCATCTCGGTTTTGGACACACTGAAGATTCTGATGGTCCCATCGCTGTACCCAGCGGCAATCCTCTGGCCAGATGCATTGTGGGGGCTCCAGTCAAGACACAAGCAGCTCTGCGCACAACAGTGAAGAAGTTAAAGGGCTGGTAGACTGACAGTTTATTTGCCTGTATCCTTCCTTCCCTCCCCCATACCAATGAAGTTTGTAACCACTTGCCCACCCGCCGCAGTACATTTACTGTGACAGGTCGGCTCGTATAGGCACAATCACATACCGCTACGTAATGGCTTTCTTCTAGACCCGGAAGACTGTGCTGTCATTGACTGCAGCACAAGCTGATCAGTGGGTCACAACCAATGAATTATGGATGGGATCCGATGATCAGCTGAGCGAATGACAGAAGAGAGCTCTGTGTTGATAAACAACACAGGGCTTTCTTCATATAGCAGTAATGTGCGTTTTTTTTTTTTTCTCCCTACAAAGCAGGGACTAAAAACCAGCACATTGCATACTAAAACACCACATAGTAAACACACCAAACCAGGAGTAGGCTACCTGAGAGCCACAGGACTACAAGTTCCATCATGCCCCTGCAAGTCATAGCTGTAACTGTCAGTTTTGTAATCTTTGTAATGCCTCATGGGAAATATAGTTCCACAACAGCTAGAGAGCCACAGGTTGCCTACCCCTGCACTAAACATTGTTAGGCACATATTTAATACCTTGATCACCATAGATGTTAACCTCTTCCCAGCCAGTGTCATTAGTACAGTGACAGTGTATATTTTTAGCATTGATCACTGTATTAGTGTCACTGGAGATGTCAGTGGCAGTTAGTGTCAGATTGCCTGCCACACTATTGCAGTCCTGTTATAAAAATCGCTGATCTCCACCATTACAAAAAATAAAAAAATAATAAAAAATTCCAGTATATATACACATATCATATATTGTATACATTAAAACTTTCATGCAAACTAATCAATATGTTTTCTAGTGGAAAGTAGAAAATGTGTTTTTTTTTTTCAAAACTCTGAGTCTTTTTTTTGTTTATATTGCAAAAGCTAAAAAAAAACAAAAAAAAACAAAAAAAAAAACCAAAAAAAAACAACAACAACAACAGTGATCATCAAATACCACCAAAAGAAAGCTCTATTTGTGTGAAAAAAATGATATGGTGCGTCTTTATGGTCAGGTGAGTCTTATGGAGTGAAAAATCAATACGTAGCACCAGATCTTAAAACAGGGCTTTTTCTTTTGAATTTCTGTTTTAAAGTGGCTAAGCAGGTTTTCTGTAATATCCCTCCTATGATAATCAGCTTTACAAAAACCATGATGGCTACAAACCTACAGCAGGTATCCATCATGAAAAGAATAGGGGAAGTTGGTACCTCTGTCATTACCTGATTAAGTACTTGGAACTGAAGAAGAAGCTCGAAGCTGTGTAGGGACCAGACACGCACGCTGCCATCCTCCCCGCATGTGGCACAGTGAGCCTCTCCCGGTGCTACCGCCAGATCCGTCACCTGAACAACAATGACAACTTAACACAGGAAATAAGGAGAGTACTTTATTAATCCATCCCTTCGGAGGATTCTCTGCCACGGTACCTTGTTTCTGTGACCGCTGATCAGACGGATGCTGGTATTCTCTACCCAGCTGATGTACCATAATGTACCCAGCCGTTGTGCCCACAATGCCCATTTCCAAGGCATCATCAAAAGCTGCACTGACAATAGCGCCATCTAATGTCATCTCTTGTTCCATCAGGACAGAAGAAGAACTAAAAAGAGATATAGACGAGTTTACTGCCCGGCCTTGATTCAAAGTTTCTCATACAAGGGACATAAAACATTTCTGTCTGTATATGTGGGAGAATGCTAGAGTAGCAGGAAAAAAGCCAAACGTGAGAGAATATACACAGCTCAGTACAGTGCCCTAGGGGAAACTCTACCCAGGACATCAGTGCTGCAAACAGCTCTGACCACACTGCCCCTGTACTAATGAAGTGATTGTAGAACTTTAAGTGTTTTTTTTTTTTTTTTTTTTAAATTAAAATGCACATTTCATTCTTACCTGCTCTGTGTAATGGTTTTGGTCCTCTTCTCCTGAGGTCCCCCCCACCAGCACTCTTGGCTCCTCCCTCCCTGCCAAGTGCCCACCACAGGATGCCGCTTACTATGGGGGCACTTGTGTGAGCTTGATCCCAAACCGGGTTGTTTGCTTCTATTGAGGACACAACTTAGCTTGGCCCCGCTCACAGGTTTTGACTGACAGCACTGTGAGCCAATGGCTCCCACGGCTCTCAGCCAAGCCTGTGTGAATGGAGAGAAAGAAGAAGAGCTGATGCAGACATGCACAGCGCTGGATCAAGATCGGGCTCAGGAAGTATTTAAGAGGGGCTGCAAGGGAGCTGCATGTAAAAAGGATTTTTACCTTAATGCAGAGAATGCATTAAAGAATGGGCAGAACAGTGGCTAATGGTTAGCACATCTGCCTGGCAGTACTCGGGTCCTTGGTTCAAATCCCAACCACAGCACCACCTGCCTGGAGTTTGCATGTTCTCCCTGTGCCTGCGTGGGTTTCCTCCGGGTACTCCGGTTTCCTTCCACACTCCAAAGACATGCTGGTAGGTTAAACTGCATCATATCTAAATTGTCCCTAGTATATGTATATATGAATGTGAGTTAGGGACCTTAGACTGTACGCCCCTTGGGGGCGGGGACTGATGTAAACGTACAATATTTATATGTAAAGCGCTGCGTAAATTGACAGCGCTATATAAGTACCTGAAATAAATAAAGACAGAAAAAAAAATTTTACCCTCACAACCACTTTTAAAAAAGAGACTCTTTCACCGTGCCATTCATTTTCACAATGATCCTTCTTTCCTTTCAACATATTTTAGGCATATTATTTCCCTGTAAAAGCCCCCCATGTATGGAAATCCAAAAGCCCCGAGACTGCTGCTGAGTGGATATGATGTCAGCAGCCCCATCAGACTTCCTGCTGTCATTCAGGTGACACTCTAGAACATTAGCCTTTACACCTTCCCCAGCAGCTACATAAAAGGTTATTGTAGAGGGTGAAGGAGCTGGACTAGAACAGGCAGTGATAAAGACACTCCCAAGAGAGGAGAGGGCTATGATGTGTAAGGTGGCATGTGCTAGAAACAAATGGAGAGAAACAGAAAAAGGGCGCACCGACCTAGTGAATTATCATTTAAAATAATTTATTAAAGAAACAAAAATAGGTATCATGCTCACAATGGACATAATAACACAGGCATGTCAAACTGAACAAGATGTATGATCCAAACAACATCCGAGTCCATACGATGGAACCCTGGATGACCAACTGGCTAACGTGTTTCGAGGACACAACCTCTTCCTCAGAGCCCAATGTGCTAGAAAAACTGACTCTTTACGGAATAGTCAAATTTTCTAGCACGTTTAAAGACACATTGCAAGTGAATAGAAATCACTTTGTGGAATAGAAAATGCTGCAAGTAAGCATTTAAATCTGACTTCCAGGAATTCAGCCACTTTGTAAAAAGTGAAAGCACACTATAAGTTAAATTGATACTAAAGTCTTGTTTTTTTTCTTTTAAAATAACAAACATGTCTATAACTTACCTGCTCTGTGTAATGGTTTTGCACAGAGCAGCCTGGATCCTCTTTTCGGGTCCCCCCACTGGCATTCCTGGCTCCTCCCTCCCATCAGCTGCCCCCATAGTAAGCAGCTTGCTGTGGGGACACCTGAGCAGGCGTGCTGCTGAGCCGCGTCTCTGCGTGTCCATTCACATGCAGAGCCGAGGCTCGGCCCTGCTCCCTCTCCTGATTGGCTCACTGGCTGTGATTGACAGCAGCAGGAGCCAATGGCATTAGACACAATCAGCAGTAAGAGTCCCTGGAAAATCGAGGCTCTCGTGGACATCACTGGATCGGGATGGGGCTAAGGTAAGTGCTAAAGGGGGGCTGATACACACAGACAGTTTTTTTTAAGCTTCATGCATACAATGCATGAAGGTAAAAAGCCTTGAGCCTTTATTACTGCTCCTTGGAGCTTACAATCTAGGTGTTTACAACCACTTTAAGCCCAGCTAGGTGCATGACACCTCCTGGACTTGCCTCTATTATTTACATTTGACAGGTTTATTGCTCTGCTGGAGAGACACTCCAGAATCTGAAACGAGAGAAACACACTGAGCAGTTATGTCCGCCCCTCCCCCCTCTGCTGCCCATTCACAGAAGTCTTCTGTGATTGGGCAGGAGGAGGGGAGGGGTGGACATAGCACCTGTAGCGACTCTCCTGTTCAAGATGCAGAGTTAAGATGGATCAACGTCACTCTCCTGGACTAACAGCAATAGCTATCTTCCAGGAGTACTATAAAGCTGGCAAATATAAATAATAGAGCTAAGTCCAGGAGATTTCATGCCAAGTCCCGGAGATATCATGCCAAGTCCAGGAGATGTCATGCCAAGTCCAGGAGATGTCATGCCAAGTCCAGGAGATGTCATGCCAAGTCCAGGAGATGTCATGCCAAGTCCAGGAGATGTCATGCCAAGTCCAGGAGATGTCATGCCAAGTCCAGGAGATATCATGCCAAGTCCAGGAGATGTCATGCCAAGTCCAGGAGATGTCATGCCAAGTCCAGGAGATGTCATGCCAAGTCCAGGAGATGTCATGCCAAGTCCAGGAGATGTCATGCCAAGTCCAGGAGATATCATGCCAAGTCCAGGAGATGTCATGCCAAGTCCAGGAGATGTCATGCCAAGTCCAGGAGATGTCATGCCAAGTCCAGGAGATGTCATGCCAAGTCCAGGAGATGTCATGCCAAGTCCAGGAGATGTCATGCCAAGTCCAGGAGATGTCATGCCAAGTCCAGGAGATGTCATGCCCCTCAGTGGACTTAACTCATAATATGCCTTCATTTTTAAAGGAAGGAGTTTAATTCCTGGGATTCAGCTTTAATACACTTTATTTTCATGTGCTTTTACTTTTTTACAACTTTTTAGGTTGGTGTCAGGATCTCTTTAACGGTTATGTACATCTACAGTTGCCAGGGCTCTCCATATTAGTTATGAGGGGCAGCAGAGTAGAGGAAAATAGGTATTTATCATTTCTACCTGGCTTCAGATCCCTTTTCTCTCAGCTCCTGAACCACGGCCACTGACCAGAGTCTGAGCCGGCGGGGTGTTACTGCCGGTCACCAGCCTGTTTCCCCTGCACAGCACGACACCTAGTGGAAAAACAGAGCATTACACAGAGCAGCAGAAAAATACCTGATCAGTCAGCATAGGTGTGCAGAATGGCTGACACTCACCGATCTCTCCCTGGTCCGCTTCCCATGTCATGAAGCAGCGGTGACTCTGAGCATCCCACACACATACCTGCCCTGTGCTGCAGCCGGCATAGAGCAAGGAGGTCGGGGTTATAGGCCAGGGAGGTCAACTCTGCCGTGCCAACCTCATCTGGCACTGGAGCTCTGTACACCTGAGGGAACACAGGGGGGGATAGTCAGAAAGGAGTGGACAGAAAGCTAGCGGTCACTTGTATACTGCAAATAAAAACTGCACCTAAAGGGTATGGAATGTTCGTACTTTTGTTTGCAATGATACAGTACAGACATCAGCGTTTTGGTGGATGGTGTTTAGAAAATTCTGCATGCTGACATTGCGGCTAATGGGGGCAAGTTCTAACACATGCAGCTGCACACACTTCACAGGGAGAAACCCACCCCCAGATAATGTATACTTAAAACTGGCATTTTCAATGGAAACTAGCGCTGACAGAGATAGGGGCACCATTGCTGATCTAGTTTTGGAGTTCCTCCAAAACTCTTGATCCACTCAGTCAGAGAAAGTACTGAAAGCTGAAGTTTAATCTGCCTATATTTTGTCAGAGCAACATCACTGGGTCTCTGTGCTTCTCTATGCAATGCAAACAAACAGCTGTACACAAGAGTCCTGAAACCTGGACGCTGTCGTAACAGGAGAGGACCCTGTACAACTGTGCAGGACTGCAGGGAAAGCTCGATTCAGCTTTAAGATAGAGTTTAGAAAAGAACGAGGACCTTTGTCAAAAAAGTGTCTTGAAAGAGACCCTAAAAAGGAGAGGTCAGCAATATTTGCCTTTAAACAAAGAGGACTGGACTGGCTCTTTATATTCACTCCATGTTAACCCTTAAAAGTTCAGCCTAAAGACCAGACACCACAAAATGTCCTCTTACCAATTACCTACCAAATGGAGAGCAGTTTAACTGCTTCCCCACCAGCCTATAGTAGAACTACCGCTACAGGGTGGCAGGGCTGCGCAAAATCACTTATATATATTGGCGGCTACAGATGTCGATCACCGGGTCCCAGCCGGAGATTCCCCGCTGGCACCCAGCGATTGCCGTCGAACAGTGACGGGAGAGACCTGTGTGTAAACAACTCCGATCTCTCCCCTGTCAGCACAGACATGCTGCTTTGTATTGCTCTGCACAGCAGAGCAATACAAAGCAGCATGTTTAAATAGTAAACCACAACAGCACAGTTAACCCTTTGATCGCCCCAGATATTAACCCCTTCCTGCCCAGTGTCATTAGTACAGTGTCAGTGCTTTGTATTAGCACTGATCACTGTATTAGGGTCATTGGGATGTCAGTTCCCCCACAGTGTCAGAAAGCCCACCGCAGTCCCGCTACAAGTCGCTGATTGCTGCCATTACTAATATATATATATTCCAGTATATTTCCCACTATTTGTAGACGCTATAACTTTCACGTAAACCAGTTAATTTACACGTATTGGGATTTTTATTTAATCAAAAGACATGTTGCAGAATACATTTTGGTCTAAATTTATGATAAAATTTGATTTTTTTAATTTTCTTACTGGACATGTTTAATAGCAAAATGTTATAATTATTTTTTTTCAAAATTGTCAGTCTTTTTGCTTATAGCTCAAAAAACAAAGCTGAGGTGATCAAATACCATCGAAAGAAAGCTCTACAGTTGCAAGAAAAAGTATGTGAACCCCTTGGGATTACATGGAGTTTTGCATGAATTGGGCATAAAATGCTAGTCATTTAGCTAGGGCCTCACATACTTTTTCCTCCCTGCACTGTGAATGTTTACATGTTATGTGCAATTAAACCATGGCAACATCTAATGTTTGTGTAGTATTATGTTCAGCAGACTGTGTTCTTCTATTGTTGTTACTTAGATGAGGTTCAGAGCACATTTTATGCCCAATTCATGCAAAACTCCACATAATCCCAAGGGGTTCACATACTTTTTCTTGCAACTGTATTTGTGGGGAAAAAAAAATGACAAATTTAATTTGGGTGCAGCTTTGCATGACCGCGCAATTGTCACTTAATGTAACGCAGCGCCGTATTGCAAAAAATGGCCTGGTGGGGAAGGGGGGGGGGGTATATAAGGATAGCCGGGGATGACCTGTAGTACTAAAATCACCCACCTTCATCTGAGTGGACAGTCCCTGCTCCTCTATTCGCCAGAAACTCACAGCTCCAGTGCCCACACAGGAGAAGCTGTTAGCATGTGCTGGATTAAAGATGACAGCATGCACAGGCTGGCATATCTGACTGCTGGCCAACAGCTCATAGGTCCTGGTGCTCCACAAAGCAAGCTTTCCATCTCTAAAATCACCTGATGGACAACAAAAATGATGGAATGGCTCAGTAATGCTATGTTCAGATGTTAGTAAAGAGTTAATACTGCAATAAAACAACCATTCTACCAAAAAGCAGGTAGATAGCAAGTAATTAAAGCGGAGCTCCTCCCAAAAGGGGAAGTTCCTAGGCCAGGGGTGGGCAACTGTAGCCCTTCAGCTGTTGGTGAACTACAAGTCCCATCATGCCTCTGCCTTTGGGAGTCATGCTTGTAACTGTCAATCTTGCAATGCCTCATGGGACTTGTAGTTCTACAACAACTGGAGGGCCATCAGTTGCCCACCCCTGACCTAGGCGATCGGAAGCAGAAGTTGTCCTCTCCCTCCTCCCTCCCCGTAGTCTTTTGGCTATGAATACAATGTGAGCAATCAAACATGTGCTGCCTGCCTAGCATAAGCTTTCTGCATTGTTCCTTACCCATCTCTACTCCAGCTCAGCATTCAGACTGTGTGCCTCGCTCTGCCAGAGCTCAATAGGAGGACGAAACGCGTAAACGGGAGAAGCTCAGAAAGGAGAACAAATTATTTTTAAATAAATGCGTGGAGGATATTGGAGTGTGGTGCATTATTTTTCTGGCATATATTGGCTGGCAAGGATAGACCTGTACATCTCCTAGAGGTGGAGAGATGCCATTGCACACCTGGAGCTATGCATTATGGGATTGTCTGCGATTTAACAATGTAAAGAAAGGATACTGACCAACAGTGATTAGCAATCTGTCATCTCGGGAGAAGTTCATAGCCTGGACCTCAGTGCTATGGCACTGCAGAATTTTAGTACATGCGCCATCCTGTGTGTTCCAGATTCTTATCTGGCACAGAGAAGAGCCATCTCCAGAGCCAGAGGAGGAGGCCAGAACCTAGAGATAGATGGAAAAAGGACTGCGTGTTACAGTGATTAGATGGCAAAACAAAAGGCGATAAAACATAGAAGTGAATGGGGGAAAACGACTCCACTGTAGTAGAACCAAATGAACATGGAGGAAGTCCTGACAATACACTCACCAGAGCATCATGAGTTAGGGCCAAAGTAGAGATCTCCTCTGGATGTCCCAACCAATGGCGCTGTGATCCTGAATGAAGATCCTCCACCACCACTATGCAACCGCACGTGTATGCGAAGAAGCCTGAAAGGACCAGAAGTCAAAAAGAAGGTTCCTACTGGGCACTTATACCCCCTTCCTGCCCAGGCCAATTTTCAGCTATCAGCGCTGTCGCACTTTGAAGAATTGACTGGTCATGCAACATTGCACCCTTATAAAATTTTTATTATTTTTATAATGTTTTTTCACACAAATAGAGCTTTCTTTGGTGGTATTTAATCACCACTGGGTGTTTTATTTTTTGCACTATAAACAACAACAAAAAAAAAAATCTAAAAAAAAAAAAAAAAGTTTGTTTCCATTATAACATTTTGCAAACAGGTAATTTGTCTGCTTCACTGATGTGCGTTGATGAGGCTGCACTGATAGGCAGCACTGATGAGGTGGCACAGATAGGCTACACTGAGGAGGTGGCACAGATAGGCAGCATTTATGGGCACAGATAGGCTACACTGATGAGGAGGCACTGATCGGTGCAACTGCTCGGCAGCACCGATGGATGGCACTGATGGGCAGCACTACTGCTCTGTGACAGCTGCTGGTTATCAGCAGTACTTTCCTCACCCTGTGACAGCGTGAGGAAAGTGCTACCGATAACCGTCAACTGCATTTACCCGGTGATCTGCTGTGTCATTGGACACAACTGATCACATGGTAAAAGGCTGCTGTGATTGGCCTTTTACTTCATCATGTGATCAGCTGTGTCCGTAGGACACAGCAATCATGGAGATTACCGGGTGCACGCCGCTAGGGGCGCGTTCTGGGAGGACGTCATATGATGCCCTCCCAGAACTGAACAACTGCGCTGTAACCGTCATTCGGCTATAGTGTGGTAAGGATATGCATAAACCCCAACTGAGCCTTCAGCTAAAATCAGGCAAATATTGTATATTTCAGGTATATCAAAACAAAAAAGTGGAAAATCCTGATCCCTCTCAACAGCTGCAGAGGACCCTTGCTCTCTCTGGGGGAGGCAGCGGTTTCTCTGTAGAGGTCTTATGCAACCTCTTCTTAATCAGACCTATATAGCTCTGCAATCAGCAGGGAGCATGGGCTTTGCATGGGGATTGCAAAGATATGACTCAGAAGAAGTGTTGGACCTCTAGAAGACAGACCACTGCTTCCGCACAGACTGCAAAAGTCAGGCAGGGCTGACAACACTGCTTAGGATCACTGATTGCTGCCATTACTAGTTAAAAAAAAAAAAAATTCCAGTATATATATGCTATAACTTTCATGTAAACCAATTAATTTACAGGTATTGTAGCTGTGCTACACTGTGCTGCCATCTAGTGGCCATCAATGTGATACCTGTATGTGACTTCTATCTCAGAGTTTTCGGTTCCAGAACACATCCGTCTTGTCTGATCCATTAGTGGTTAAAAGGATAGAACAATTTATTGACAAAACTAATGAAAACATTAAGATGTACCTGTATCAGGGTTCCAAGCCATGTTCCCTCTACCATTTCCATTATACCCAATGACAGCTTTGAGGGCCAACATCTCCTGGCCAGCTGGAGGATGACTCAATCCCTGCACAAAACACATGTATGCCACTTGAGATACTAAAGTTTTCTTTTTAAGAAGCCCTTGTTTAGACAGACTGAAACGTCACACTGTGGCTTTTTACCTTGGCCAGGCTTGAGGTCTTGTAGCGAGGGTTGAAATGTGAGTAGGTATCTGGACGTGGTAGGTTCTGCCGTACATCTGACAACAAAAAGAAAACTTGTTAACTGAAATGTCCTTCTGCAAATGTTTTCGATGTCTTGTTTGTTACAATAGCAATCTATTTTATTCCTTTGTGTGTGAATAAGGCCTCAAGTTTACCTGTGCAAAGCACACTTGTATGTCAGCCCATGCTGCTGCTTACACTTTACTTCCCTTCACCATCAGCCCCTCTAGTCTATTCACCCATGGCAGAGAAAGAGAAGATAGTAGTGGTGCACCGAAATGAAAATTCTGGTACCGAAAATTCAAAATGCACTTGGCTGAAAACTGAAATGCGCAGTTTTTAAAAACGAATATATATTTTTTGGGAAAAAATACTTAGATAAAAAAAAATAAAAATTATATATATATATATATATATATATATATATATATATATATATATATATATATATATATATATACACATATATACACACACAGTCAGGTCCATAAATATTGGGACATCAACACAATTCTGACATTTTTGGCTCTATACACCACCACAATGGATTTGAAATGAAACAAACAAGATGTGCTTTAACTGAAGACTGTCAGCTTTAATTTGAGGGTATTTACATCCAAATCAGGTGAACGGTGTAGAAATTACAACAGTTTGCATATGTGCCTCCCACTTGTTAAGGGACCAAAAGTAATGGGACAATTGGCTTCTCAGTTGTTCCATGGCCAGGTGTGTGTTATTCCCTCATTATCCCAATTACAATGAGCAGATAAAAGGTCCAGAGTTCATTTCAAGTGTGCTATTTGCATTTGGAATCTGTTGCTGTCAACTCTCAAGATGAGATCCAAAGAGCTGTCACTATCAGTGAAGCCATCATTAGGCTGAAAAAACAAAACAAACCCATCAGAGAAATAGCAAAAACATTAGGCGTGGCCAAAACAACTGTTTGGAACATTCTTAAAAAGAAGGAACGCACCGGTGAGCTCAACAACACCAAAAGACCCGGAAGACCACGGAAGACAACTGTGGTGGATGAGCGAAGAATTCTTTCCCTGGTGAAGAAAACACCCTTCACAACAGTTGGACAGATCAAGAACACTCTCCAGGAGGTAGGTGTATGTATGTCAAAGTCACCAATCAAGAGAAGACTTCACCAGAGTGAATACAGAGGGTTCATCACAAGATGGAAACCATTGGTGAGCCTCAAAAACAGGAAGGCCAGATTAGAGTTTGCCAAACGACATCTAAAAAAGCCTTCACAGTTCTGGAACAACATCCTATGGACAGATGAGACCGAGATCAACTTGTACCAGAGTGATGGGAAGAGAAGAGTATGGAGAAGGAAAGGAACTGCTCATGATCCTAAGCATACCACCTCATCAGTGAAGCATGGTGGTGGTAGTGTCATGGCGTGGGCATGTATGGCTGCCAATGGAACTGCTTCTCTTGTATTTATTGATGATGTGACTGCTGACAAAAGCAGCCGGATGAATTCTGAAGTGTTTCGGGAATATTATCTGCTCATATTCAGCCAAATGCTTCAGAACTCATTGGACGCTTCACAGTGCAGATGGACAATGACCCAAAGCAGACTGCAAAAGCAACCAAAGAGTTTTTTTTAGGGAAAGAAGTGGAATGTTATGCAATGGCCAAGTCAATCACCTGACCTGAATCCGATTGAGCATTTCACTTGCTGAAGACAAAACTGAAGGGAAAATGCCCCAAGAACAAGCAGGAACTGAAGACAGTTGCAGTAGAGGCCTGGCAGAGCATCACCAGGGATGAAACCCAGCGTCTGGTGATGTCTATGTGTTCCAGACTTCAGGCTGTAATTGACTGCAAAGGATTTGCAACCAAGTATTAAAAAGTGAAAGTTTGATTTATGATTATTATTCTGTCCCATTACTTCTGGGACCTTAACAAGTGGGAGGCACATATGCAAACTGTTGTAATTCCTATACCGTTCACCTGATTTGGATGTAAATACCCTCAAATTAAAGCTGACAGTCTGCAGTTAAAGTACATCTTGTTCGTTTCTTTTCAAATTCATTGTGGTGGTGTATAGAGCCAAAAATGTTAGAATTGTGTCGATGTCCCAATATTTATGGACCCGACTGTATATATATATATATATATATATATATATATATATATATATATATATATATATATATATATATATATACACATATACATATACACACACACACACACACATATATATCCCAATTGTTTTGTAAAATATGTAAGAGGATGTTATGGTGAGTAAATAGATACCCAACAAATCACGCTTTAAAATTGCGCACACTCTTGGAATGGCATGAAACTGCGGTACTTAAATATCTCCATGGGTGAGGCTTTAAAAATGTGTAAAGTTCCAGAAGAGGTCTGGTGTGAGAATTATTGCTCTTGCTCAGACGTTCATGGCAATACTTCACGTGTGTGGTTTGAATACTGTTTACATATGTGGGAGTGGCCTATGTTTACATTCACCACTACGTGCGAACACGGGGGGGGAGGGGGCACTTTAAACTTTTTTTTTTAAATGTATTTAATGTTTTTTTTTTCGTTTTTGCACTGTTCCTTTTAAAAAAATTGTAATCACTTTTATTCTTATCACAAGAAATGCATGCATCCCTTGTGATAGACATAATTAGTGACAGGTCCTCTTTACAGAGAGATATTGGGTCAATAAGACCCCACATCTCTCCTCTGCAATGTACAGCATTAGATCAAAAAAAGCATTGATCTAGTGCTTTAAAAATAAAAATGTCCGGAACCGGAAGTGACATTGCTCCGGTCCTCCAAGGGCATAGAGAAGTGTGGTGGCCATCTTTCCTTCACTCACCTCTAAGCCCAGCGCCGGGATCAATGGTTTCTCAGGTAAGACTGAACTACCGAGCGGCAGCCGGGCGGCGGCGGGGGGCAGGCGGCTTTGAAGGGCAGGGTTTTTTTTGTACCTGTATCGGTGCTTTTTTTCATTTCGGCCGAAAGGGGTGTTTTCGGCCGAAACATTTTGGCCACCGGAATTTTGGTGCATGCCTAGAAGATAGGAAGCCCTCTAAGTGGGGACCAGGAGCTTACACATGGCAGAATACTTCTCCACCTCCACATTCAATATAAAGGGAACTCAGCGGTCTGCTATGTTACTTTGCCTTCTGGCTGACCAGAGCAAAGTTTTAATAAAAGAGAGGAAAGCTGACTGAACCAGCATTATAAAAACAGGTACCTGTAACTTACCCTGCATGGGCAAAGCACAGGTTCACTTTATGTAAGGTGTTCTACTACAGCCACAGACCCTTGAAACTCCTCTTAGGGATCACTATTAGGGCTCATGTACACTGCAGCTGCTAAACTGACGTTCAGGAGCTGTTGAGCGTTTTTTTCAGCTGCCCCTGAACTCTCCTTTATGTTTTCCTATGTGTCCATGTACACATCGTCATTTACAGTCGTTTACAGGCAGTTGAGTTTACAGTCGTTTTTTTTTAACGCACCAAAATTGCATTCAGGAGTAGATTTTACCAGCGTTTTCAAACGCCAAATGCTTGTAAATGCGGTTAACCGCGTTTACAAGCATTTGCGTTTAGATGCAGTTTTTGACAGGTTCATATCCAGATGCTGTCCGGAGCCTTTTTTCATCATCGGAAATGCATGCAAAGTATTTTTCTATGTATTCAAATGGGCCCGGTACACCAGCGCAGTCAGTTCCAGGTTTTGCATAAAGGAAACAATGGTAGAACGCGCCGCATTATGCTCATGATGGGATCCATAGTGAATACAACCAGAAAAGACAGGTCATCTCCACACATACTGCTCTCTCTGCTTCTGCTCTCTCTATTCCTCTCAAAATGTCTGAAATAGTTCATTTTTTTACTGTTTTTCAGTGCATTCTGGGCATTTGGGAAGGTCTCCTGAGGTTATCTTTTAAAACGCTTCCAAACGCAAACGCGCATAAACTTGCATTTTTTAACCTACGTTTTCTAGCAATCAGTTTCCAGCGGTCAGAAGAGTTTTCCAAACGCCCCGTGTACATGAGCTGTAAAAAGTCCAGCACGTTTTCTCTTCTAAAATCCAAGCCTTAACCTCCTTAGCGGTATTCCCGAGTGTAGCTCGGGGTAAAATTTGAGTACCAAAAGCGGTAACCCCGAGCTACACTCGGGCTTACCATGCGGCGTTGCTCAGGGGGTCCCTGCAGCACTTACCTTGTCCTTCGCTCCCGCGATGTGTCCCCTGCAGCGTCCCCGGCCATCTCCTCCTCCGGCCGATGCCGGCATCCGGCTTCCGTGTTCCAGTCCCTGTGATGTCGGGACGTACGGGCGCCGGAACCGGCGGGAAATTTGAAATTTTTTAAAAATGTCATTTTTGCTGTCATTGCTGTTTCAATGCATTTCACATAAATTTTGTCCCTACTGCTTTGTCCGGCGCCCTGCCTGCATTTTGACTGTTCTTTCTGCCTGGAAACTTAGAAAAGTCCATGGTGTCCAAAAAGCGTCCCTTTACGTCAAAAGCGGTTTAGAACAGCGATAGTAAATCAGAACCACTTGCAGAATTGAGTGATAATGATTCATGGGGGAAATTCATTATCAGACACTGAAAATGATTTTGCGACTTTGCTCAGCGATGTGCGAATTTGCCTCTGTATTTCAAATTTCAGTGTTTTTGGTTTGATTATATTATTGAATTAAATTTTTATTATTATTTTTTATGATTATTTATTAAATTATAATTTATGATTTTGTGTTTCAAGTTTTTATCATACCCGGGATGTTTACTAGACTCTTGTTCGGACAGATTTCAGTGAGTTATTCCTAAAAATTACAGCCTACAATAAAAAACTACATATTTCCATGCAAAAAAATGTACCGCTTTCAGCACAAAAAATTGGAAAGAATCATACCGCCGAGGAGGTAAAAAAGGTCTTCGTGAACCACTGAAAATTATTTGGATTTTTAGTGTACTTATATAAAAGTGGACTTCACAAACATGTTTAAGCTCTAAGCTATAAACATTTAAATTACATTCTAACCCCCAGGCTGGGTGCTGTTGCATCAAACAGTAATAAAGTTATATCTGGCTTATGTTCTTTAGCTCTACAGTTCAGTCAAAGAGAGACTGGAGAACCTTATTAAAGGATAACTTCACCTTTGGTAACATGTTACACCCATATTTAGGTTGGAACATGTTTCCAAAAATCAGCTGCCAGCATCCCCCGATCTCCTAATCTCCTTCTCTCCACACCCGCAATTCAACAGCAGCGTGGCCATGCAGGCTCCACCCACACGGCCACGTCATTCATTCAGTTTCCTGTGAATGAATGACCTACAGCTACCATTGCAATAGACAGCTTGTCGTTCTCAATGAACTGCGAGGGCACTGGTGAGCGTTCCCATAGTTCATCGGTTCTTCCTAGACTTCAGCAACTGTCTGCTCATATGGGAAAACAGCTGACAGAGTCTGTAGGCGGTTGGCACTGCACCCGCAATCTGACGATTGTGGGTGCAGGGCTTTGCAGGCTGCTAAGGAAAAATAAATAAAATGCTTTTTTTTTTTTTTAAACCTGCAAAAAAAAAAAAATTTTAAAATGTGCATTTATTTTGTCAAAAGGTGAACTTGGCTTTAAAACCCCAAGAAGGGAAATGTGCAGTCTACTTAACCTTCTGCAATGCCCCCGGCAGTCCTGGGGAGCTTGGTGCAGCTAGGCTGGCTCTCTATGATGATCAGTGAAGATTGTCCATCACTTCCCTTTGGATCCTGGATCTCAACCTCTTCTACTTTTGATTCTTCATGCAGTACTTTGCCAAGCTCCACATCTCCATCTTCTGATTCTGAAAGGAGGCCTAAAAAAAAAAAAAAAAAAAAAAAAAAAAAAAAAAAAAAAAAAAAAAAAGAAGAAGAAAAAAAAAAAAAAAGACATATAGTGATGAATCTGCAAAAGGGTGGTTCAAGCCTTTTCGCTCACGGAGAATAAAGCGAGCCTGACATTTTTAAAAATCAATTTATTCAGGGAAGGCTGGACTGTCATTAGATGGGGCCCATAGTGTCCATGTAAGGATATTTTTCCTACACACATCTGTTAATTTTCTTGCGTTGTTCCTCCTACCCAACAAGTTTTCTCCACTCCACCCCTGCACTACATGACTGTTTTGCAGAAGTAGAGAGAATAACCAGTTGCTTAAAAGAAATGCATATTGATTTGTATATATTTTACATTTGTCTACTATAGTCAGGACTAAAAAAAAAAAAAAATAAAACCCTTTTGTAAACATATTTTAAGTTTTTATTCATTTTATCACTTAATATTCTGTTCATGTATTCGGTCTCCTTAAAAAAACCAAAACAAAACCAAAAAGGCTTATGGGGGCAAGCAGTAAGTTACACACATTTGTAAGCAATGGTTCATTCCATGTTCAGATGGCGCCTTCCAAGATCAGACAGACAAAGCTAGCCTTAATTTATTACTACAGGCAAAACATTTTTTTTTTAGTTTTGAATATAGTGGAGATGGATTTCAACAGTCTGTGCCTCCGTTAGGGAGATTCACCCTCTCTATTTGCCCTCTATTATCATCAAAAGTGAACGTAAAGAAAGCCTCAAATTTTGGGTTGTCTCCAGAAAAGGGGAAATTTTCCAATGGGGACACTAGTTCTGGTGACCTGGGGGTACCCAAGGAATTCCCCTAAAGCGGAACTAAACTGTATCCAAGAACCACAAACCAAGGCGCTATTTATTCATTTTTAATATACAAAGCAAACACTTCCATGTCTCCATGTCTTTATTTTGCTGAGAAATCACTTAGAAAAACACCCTCTAGCATCTCTGGCTGTGGTAATCTTGAGTAAGGGCAGATGATTCTTGTAGCAATTATTTCTCAGAATCCATCTGCCCTTAACTCAGGCAATCATGTAGAAGGGTGTGCTTAGCTGTGAACCCCCCTCCTGAAGACGCCTGGGATGTATGACATCATTTGTCTAGACATGGAAACAAGGAAGTAACTGAAGAAATGTAAAAAAAAAAAAAAAAAAAAAAAAATGTAATTTAAAACAAGTAAATAGGAAACACTTTCCTATTTACTAATGCTGGCAGCATAAGGATTCAAAAATGTAGTCAATGTTAATTGAGGGAGTGAAGTTCCACTTTAATTTGCAAGGATTATCTCTTACTTGCTGTTGTGACAATGGGACAGTAAGTGAAGGTAAATCTCACCAATGGGAGACAGACTGCAAAAAATAATCTGATAGGGGTTAGAACCCTTCCATACTCCATCCAAAAATTACAAAAAAAAAAAAAGTTTTTCTTTATAGTTCTACTTTAAGAACCCAAAATTAATATGGTTTTAAGGTTTGCAGTAGAGAGAAGGTGACTTTCATAGAAGGCCTCAGAAACCATAGAAAGCAGACTAAACAAAAGGCATGCAGCGTAGATGTTATACAGTGAAGACCAGATGCTGGACCCTGAACCAAGATTTGGCCACCTATTTCTACTGAACAAAGTAGGCCGGCCTGAAAATAATCCATTTCTGGCAAGTAATATTTCACAACTTTTTTCAAACTTGCCAATTAGTAAGATAACATGAGAACATTTTTAACAAAGTGACAGGTCCTCTTTGAGAGAAATTATAGATCAGCTGACCTGCAGTCTCCACTCGTTGCACCGGGCTGATGTCCAGACGAGGAGGCGAGGAAATACAGGGCCGAGGTGCACTACCACGTGGCATCCCGCTGGAAATGTAAGTGGAGTCTCTTCTCTGCTCTGTCAAATCTGGAATTCCACAAAGAGGTTTATTTCCGATCAGCAAAAGCATCACTAACCACACATGTCCTAATCTACAGTCCACTAACCGGAGCTGGAATGGAGAGTGCTGGGTAGATCACAAGCTGGGGCTGACCAACGGATGGAAGGCAGACATGGAGCAGAGCTGAGGACAAGACGACATATTTGTGGCATTATCCATACGGTTATGTAAAAGGAGTCTAATAGATATCCACAATAAGAGCAAAACCAAGAAACACAAAAAGATACAGTAAAGAGGTCAAATAATTCTGACATTTCAGTTTGAGGAACGTAGACTTATAGAGGCCTGATTAGCAAGAGGGTCACCTGAGATCACAAGGGTATAGGGCAACCTTTCTCAACCAGGGTGCCTTGAGGTTTCTTCAGGGGTGCCTTGGCAAAATGTCTAAAAATTGCCCAAAACTTGTATACAAACCAGCGGGTGGAACAAGCCCGCCTTTTAGTTACACCTAGCCACAGGTTTTCATTGTGTGCACCATTAGGACCGTCTAGCGACCGGCATCCTGACAACCAATGATATCATCAGTTGACAAGGAGGATGTCAGCTGCCTGCACAGCATCCTAGTTTGACCCTCCCCTGCCCCTCTCTATCAGTGCTGGGGTCACATTAGCTCCGTGATGGAGAAAAAACCGAGGTGGAAGAGAAACATGGGAATACTAGTCAGTACCAGTGTGCAAAAGTGTATTTGCTTTGGAAGAATAAACCACCTCTAATGTTGGGTGTCCTACATGTATGGTTGTTGCTGCGTTATATAAAACTATTAGAATAGTTTTTCACATTTTAGAATGGGGCGCCTCAAGACTGTCCATCATTTTAAAGGGCGCCTCGGGACTGTCCATCATTTTAAAGGGTGCCTCGAGATTGTCCAGAACTTTAAAGGGTGCCTCGGGACTGTCCATCATTTTAAAGGGTGCCTCGGGACTGTCCATCATTTTAAAGGGCGCCTCGGGACTGTCCATCATTTTAAAGGGCGCCCCGGGACTGTCCATAATTTAAAAGGGCACCTCGAGACTGTCCATCATTTTAAAAGGGTGCCTCGAGACTGTCCATCATTTTAAAGGGCGCCTCGGGACTGTCCATAATTTTAAAGGGCGCCTCGGGACTGTCCATAATTTTAAAGGGTGCCTCGGGACTGTCCATAATTTTAAAGGGCGCCTCGGGACTGTCCATAATTTTAAAAAGGGCGCCTCGGGACTGTCCATAATTTTAAAAAGGGCGCCTCGGGACTGTCCATAATTTTAAAGGGCGCCCCGGGACTGTCCATAATTTTAAAGGGTGCCCTGGGACTGTCCATAATTTTAAAGGGCGCCCCGGGACTGTCCATAATTTTAAAGGGCGCCCCGGGACTGTCCATAATTTAAAAGGGTGCCCTGGGACTGTCCATAATTTAAAAGGGCGCCTCGGGACTGTCCATAATTTAAAGGGTGCCTCGAGACTATCCATCATTTTAAAAGGGTGCCTCGAGACTGTCCATCATTTTAAAAGGGTGCCTCGAGACTGTCCATAATTTTAAAGGGTGCCTCGAGACTGTCCATCATTTTAAAGGGTGCCTCGGGACTGTCCATCATTTTAAAGGGCGCCTCGGGACTGTCCATCATTTTAAAGGGTGCCTCGGGACTGTCCATCATTTTAAAGGGCGCCTCGGGACTGTCCATCATTTTAAAGGGCGCCTCGGGACTGTCCATCATTTTAAAGGGCGCCTCGGGACTGTCCATCATTTTAAAGGGCGCCTCGGGACTGTCCATAATTTTAAAGGGCGCCCCGGGACTGTCCATAATTTAAAAGGGCACCTCGAGACTGTCCATCATTTTAAAAGGGTGCCTCGAGACTGTCCATCATTTTTAAAGGGCGCCTCGGGACTGTCCATCATTTTAAAGGGCGCCTCGGGACTGTCCATAATTTTAAAGGGTGCCTCGGGACTGTCCATAATTTTAAAGGGCGCCTCGGGACTGTCCATAATTTTAAAGGGTGCCTCGGGACTGTCCATAATTTTAAAAAGGGCGCCTCGGGACTGTCCATAATTTTAAAAAGGGCGCCTCGGGACTGTCCATAATTTTAAAAAGGGCGCCTCGGGACTGTCCATAATTTTAAAAAGGGCGCCTCGGGACTGTCCATAATTTTAAAAGGGTGCCCTGGGACTGTCCATAATTTTAAAGGGCGCCCCGGGACTGTCCATAATTTTAAAGGGCGCCCCGGGACTGTCCATAATTTAAAAGGGTGCCCTGGGACTGTCCATAATTTTAAAGGGCGCCTCGGGACCGTCCATAATTTAAAGGGTGCCTCGGGACCGTCCATAATTTTAAAGGGCGCCTCGGGACCGTCCATAATTTTAAAGGGCGCCTCGGGACTGTCCATAATTTTAAAGGGCGCCTCGGGACTGTCCATAATTTTAAAGGGCGCCTCGGGACTGTGCACAATTTTAAAGGGCGCCTCAGGACTGTCCATCATTTTAAAGGGTGTCTTGACTGAAAAAAAAAACAAAAACTGAGAAACACTGGTATAGGGCTACAGCAGTGTTTCTCAACTCCAGTCCTCATGGACTCCCAACAGGTCATGTTTTCAGGATTTCCCTCAGATGAAACAGCTGTGGTAATTACTAAGGCAGTGAAACTGATCAAATCACCTGTGCAAAATAATGGAAATCCTGAAAACATGACCTGTTGGGGGTCCATGAGGACTGGAATTGAGAAACACTGGGCTACAGGAAGAAGTTATACAGTAAAAAAAAAGTCTTAGTGTGTGTCAGCTATTCCCTCCTTTATATAACCTATGATTGATAGATCAGCCAAATATGGTCCAGTGGCATCAAGGCAAAAAGGAGTACAAAGTCTCACAGTTGCTCTTTATATAGCAGCCACAGCCTGAGTAGAAAACACCTTCCCCTGACAGAATGATGTAGAGAAGGACCCTGGCTCTGTGGTAGCAGTGGTCTCCTCATAGAGGTCCAACACCCCCCCCCCCCTGCTGAATCAGACCTTTGCTTCCTACTGATTGGAGAGCTCTACTTCTAGTTCAAACTATATCAGACCTCTGCAGAGTAACTACTGCTTCCACACAGAGAGCAAGTATTCTCCTCTGCAACATGATGGCATGGACAGGCTTTATTACTTCGGGCTCATGTACACTGCAGCTGATAAACTGACATTCAGGAGCTTTTCTGCGCTTTTTTTCAGCAGCCCCTGAACTCTCCCTAATCTTTCCCTATGTGTCCGTGTACACATCGTTGTTTACAGGCAGTTGAGTTCACAGTCGTTTTTTTGAATGCACCAAACTTGCGTTCAGGAGTAGATTTTATCAGCGTTTCAAATGCCAAATGCTTGTAAATGCGGTTAACCTTGTTTATAAGCGTTTGCGTTTAGAAGTGTTTTTTAACTGTTCCATGTCCAGATGCTGTCCGGAGCCTTTTTTCATCATCAGAAATGCATGCAAAGCGTTTTCCATGTATTCAAATGGACCCGGAACACGAGCGCAGTCAGTTACAGGTTTCGCGTGAAGGAAAAAATGGCAGAACGTGCAGCATTATGCTCATGATGGGATCCATAGGGAATACAACCAGAAAAGACAGGTCATCTCAACACATACTGCTCTCTCTGCTTCTGCTCTCTCTATTCCTCTCAAAATGTCTGAAATAGTTAATTTATTATTTTTCAGTCCATTCTGGGCATTTGGGAAGGTCTCCTGAGGTTATCTTTTAAAAACGCTTCTAAAACGCAAACGCACATAAACACGGTATGCAAATGCGGCTAAACTGCCATTTTTTAACCTACATTTTCCAGCAGTCAGTTTCCATCGTTCAGAAGAGTTTTCCAAACACCCCGTATACATGAACCCTTAGGCTGAAGCTGCTTTGTAAAGACAACAAACTGTGCACACCTTTTGCTTTGATGCACCGGGAATGTATTTAGTGGATTTACACTAATTGATCAGATGGGGATTAAAACAATGAAAAGATTAATTAAAACATACCAAATATCTGGGGCGTCAGGATCTGGAGCCGCCTCAAAATCCCAGATAAATATGGCATCTCCTGCAGAGATGACAGTTTGTTGGTCAGGAGAGAAGTCCACTTGTTGTACCGGCTCGGAGTGGCCAATGAACACCTGAAGGTAAATTGCATACAAAAAAGAAATGTAGTGATACAATGCCTAAAAGACAAAAGAAGTGATATTTAAATGTCCAACTGAGGTCTCACATCTTTTACCGTGTCATAATCCTGTACGAGATGCTTACAAATGCCTTTAAATAGCTCTTTATCTCAGTGATAATGCTGTTTCCTGCCTCTCACACTGCAGTGCTCTGTGCTAGCGGAGTTAGGTAACAGCCACACCCCTTTAGCCTGAGTGTTCTCACATACACTATAATGCAAAAACGTATTGGCCGCCTGCCTTTAGACGCACATGAACTTTACTGGCAATCCAGTCTTAGTCCGTAGGGTTCAATATTGAGTTGGCCCCGCCCTTTGCAGCTATAAGAGCTTCAACTCTTCTGGGAAGGCCGTCTACAAGGTTTAGGAGGGGGTGTCTATGGGAAGGTTGGACCATTCTTCCAGAAGCACATTTGTCAGGTCAGGCACTGATGTCGGGGGAGGAGGCCTGGCTCGCAGTCTCCGCTCTAATTCATTCCAAAGGTGTTCTATGGGGTTGAGGTCAGGACTCTGTGCAGGCCAGTCAAGTTCCTCCGCCCCAAACTCGCTCATCCATGTCTTTATGGGCCTTGCTTTGTGCACTGGTGGGCAGTCATGTTGGAACAGGAAGGGGCCATCCCCAAACTCTTCCCACAAAGTTGGGAGCATGTCTTGGTATGCTGATGCCTTAAGAGTTCCCTTCACTGGAACTAGGGGGCCAAGCTCAACCCCTGAAAAACAACCCCACACCATAATCCCCCCTCCTCCAAACTTTACACTTGGCACAATGCAGTCGGGCAAGTACCGTTCTCCTGGCAACTGCCAAACCCAGACACATCCATCGGATTGCCAGACAGAGAAGCATGATTGGTTACTCCAGAGAACACGTCTCCACTGCTCTAGAGTCCAGTGGCAGTGTGCTTTACACCACGGTATCCGATGCTTTGCATTGCACTTGGTGATGGAAGGCTTGGATGCAGCTGCTCAGCCATGGAAACCCATTCCATGAAGCTCTCCATGCACTGTTGTTGTGCTCATCTGAAGGCCAAACCAAGTTTGGAGGTCTTTAGCTATTGACTCTGCAGACAGTTGGGGTATGGGACTCAAGCTAAGTGGATGCAGGAATCTGTTCATTTTGTTTTTTGTTCAGCCCACTAGCTGGATGAAAATTAACAAACCACGTGTACTCATTTTAAATTGGTTGTAAAAGGCTCAAGGGTTTTTTACCTTCATGCATTCTATTTTTTTTTTCTGCCTTTGCTGGCTATTAGGAGACCCTGAATGGACAAAACACCCATAGCGTCAGGGAGCCAATAACAGTTTTGATGTAGTGCTGAATAAGCAGAAGAGGAAAAGCAGCTTTTTGATGTGGCATAAAATGACACATAATGAAGTAAGGCTTTGACAACTAAATGTGCTCTTTATGCAGAAAACTAAAGACATTTAACACATCCCTGATGTAAAAATGAGGACATAAAATAATGAGTGAGCATATGTTAAATAAATCCAAAGGTTCTGTGTGCTGATGCAAACGTCTTCTGTAGAGGTGTGTTGCTGCAACACCGGGACAGATCTGAACCCTACATACAATTTTATCCTGTCCAGTCAACACTTCTGTGCTGTATGTGAGAACACTGACAATAAGAGCATCTGCTGGAGGGAAAATAGGCAAGGGTTAAAAAAAAAAAAAAAAAAAAAAAAAAAAAAAAAAACAAACACAACAAAAAAGGAGACTAGAGAGTAACAGAAATTGATTACTTATAAATACATACTACAAATGTGAAAGGCAACACAATAAA